ATTTATTGAAACGACATAATTTTGAGTTATTTTTTGCTTAATTTTTTATAAGTCTAGTTGATAAACATTGTCTTATATATATATATATATTATATGAGAAGAAATTTATTTGCACATAAGTGTTACATACCATATTTATACAAAATTTCAATTATTCATCTCTTCACTTTTAATAGTTGAGAATTATCTTATTAAAAATAACTATTTTTTCATCTTCAAAATTATGATAAATCTCAACTATTAAAACGACATGTCTAGTTGATAAACATTGTCTTATATATATATATTATATGAGTAGGAATTTATTTGCACATAAGTGTTACATACCATATTTATACAAAATTTCAATTATTCATCTCTTCACTTTTAATAGTTGAGAATTATCATTAATTTTTAGATACAAAAGTAATTATAGTTAATTAATGTAAATAAATATTAACCATTGAAAGTTGAGAGATAAATAATTTAGATTTTGTATTAGTGTAGCTATAAGTAGATTCTTACTATATATTTTTTGGAATTCCAATCAAATTGAAGGAAATTAACAAGGAGTTATTTTGTTGATTAATTTTCTTTGTAGATCATACCTCAATTGGAGGAATTGTCCTTAACGGAAGATGACATCCTAATGATATGTGGTGAAATCAAATTTAAGGAGAACCTCTTTTTCAATATCAAAGTTCTTCATATTCAAGACTATCTTGATATGTCAGCTATTTTACCAATCTGCTTTCTCAATAGATTCTCCAATTTAGAGAAGCTTTTTTTGAAAAATTGTTATTTCACAGAGTTATTCCCTCCAAAAGGAGAGCAGGTTGGTGACCAAGAGAAACAAGTTGAGACTGAGGTACTCTCAAGGATTAAAATACTAAGATTGGATTCCTTTCCTAATCTCAAGCACATATTGAGCCAAGACTCATCAACTGTTCTTCAAAATCTTCAAACCCTTGAAGTATGGAGATGTAATAGTTTGCCTTGTTTATTAATATCAAACACAATATCTCTCCATAATCTTACCACTTTGGATGTGTCGGGATGTGATTCTGGTATGAAAACATTGGTTTCAGTCCCACTGGCCCGAAGTCTGGTGCAACTGGAACATATAACTGTAAGCGAATGTGACAGCCTTACTGAAATAGTTGGACACGAAGGAGATAGAAGAGAAGATTCAGATATTAATTTCAACAAATTAAGAATTTTGAAACTTAAATGTTTGCCAAGATTAGGAAGCTTCTGTTCGGAGAATTTCTCATTCAATTTCCCATCTTTAGAAATGGTAACTGTGGATCAATGCCCCAAATTGAAGATCTTCAGTGAGGGAGGCTTATGCACACCACTATTGCAGAGAGTAGAATTAACTGAAGGAGAGGACAAGTCGCATTGGGCTGGTGACTTAAATACCACCATACAAAAAATGCACACAGAAAAGGTATGAGTTGATTTACAAATATTTGAAGCTACATATTGTTTTGGTTTTATTTTTTATTTTATTTTTCAATTATTGTGTTAAATGTATCTAGCATGTTTTGCATTACACTTGGTAGGTTGGATTTGCTGGGTTAGAGGACTTGACACTGTCAGACTTTCCTGAATTGATTGAAATATGGCATGATAGGGAGAGGCGCCAAGCAATTTTGGATTTCAGATTGCTTGAATATCTACAGCTCGATAATTGTGCCCAGCTCTCATACTTGTTAACCCCTTCCATGGTATCTTGCCTTGTGCAACTCGTATTTATAAGCATAAAGAACTGTGCTATGATGGAGCAAGTGATAATGGGAGATGGAGAAGAAAGTAAGATGATATTCCCCCGACTATTGAACATTAAGCTAGAGTCTTGTTCAAATTTGATAAGTTTCTATGTGGGAAGTCATCGCCTTGAGATTCCAAGTTTGGAAAGAATTTTTATAAAAGAATGCCAAAATATGGTTACGTTCGCTGCTTCTACATCGTCTGGAGAGCATGAAAAAGAGACATCTCATCAATACTTTTTTAGCAGCAAGGTTAGTTTTCTTATTCTTTTACGCTTTATTGTTAGTTGTACAATATTTCACTG